GTGTACTTTTGGAATATCAATACCAAGAACGTAAAATCTATACTTTGAAATATTTTTTACAATGTTGATTTACATTGTCTTCGAATCCTTTAAATACCCAACAGATTTAGACTTCTTGAGTTGATGATCATGCTTCCTTCTGTTTTGTCAGTATATCATAGAAGAGCATGTGTTCAACTAATCTTTGGGGGCATCACCATTAGTCTGCTAGCTTGTGCAGAGTTTTCAACTTTTTGATTTTAAGAAAGTGGCCTGTGTATTTCTTGGGTTTATGTTTACATATAGTGAAACTGTGGAAAGCACGTTTAACCTATTTTCTGTATGAGCCAAACCCATAATACATAGACCTCTTGATCATTGGCCGATACGAATACCCCTTTCATATGTATATGTCCAACATATCCATCTTGCTTTGTTCGTTTGCTGCCAAGAGAAAATCATCTGACATATTGGCACACTCCCTAAGTTTGATCTACCATTCTTGACTTTTTTATCCAATTTAGTGCCTGATATTTTTTACCATTTGAAATGTTTGAACACTTCCGATTATATTTTCATAACATAGTTTCATGTGCACTAGCAACTGTGAATATGTGTTCCTTGACTGTAAAACAGTCTTCTCATCCAGTTGGACTAGAAACCCTTTGCTTTTAGCCATTTGAGGGTTTGAGGTTTTGAAATCATCTTGTAGCTGCCAATGATTTCAGTCCATATCTGGTTCATTTTGCCCAATTTATCCAATCCTATGTCCGATTGCTAAAACCTGTCAAATTCTGCCGGTTCAACAGCTGGGCCGGTTGAACTGCCCGGTTCATATCAGTTGGAGCTGTAGAACTCGCCATTTCAAACCAATTTTGATTTTTTTTTATTTGTTTGTGTCCCATTTATTTTTGAAGACCAGACTGACCGGTGAACCGGCCTGTCCAAGTGGTCTTGACCAGACTGGTGGCATCACCAGTTTGATGACGAATCTGGTCTGGATAACATTGGTATGACATACCTAAAGAAATAAAGGAAATATTAGTATAATCCTGTAGGGTTGCACCATCTCTGCAGTGTCCATCCCTTGATTGGCAGTGATGACCCCAATGGACTATGGATTTCTGCCGTCCATTATGGACCATGGTATTCTTTCCTGAAATGGAATTGCATTAATGGAATGCATTCATTTCTAAAGATAATTGCTTCAAATCAGATTTTTATTGGGCTGCGGGCTTTAGCTGAAGGAGGTGACAATGTGGAGTCCGCTTTGTTTTCTGTTGCTTTTTCATATTTGACTATGGTGAGGAGTCACTATTATGGCAAGAATTTCAAAAGCCGAGTTTCTTGTTAGAGGCCTCATGGGCACATTGGTTTGTGTATTGGGGGTTGATGACATTCCCTTATGCTTGAAATTTTAAATTGAAACCATATCATGGATGTAACATGCGTAGGAAGAAAGTATTGTACTTTGTGCAAGTATATCGTTTGGTGCTCGGACCATGGATCCACTATTCATACATATCCTTGGGAACTTGAGTTGTTCGCTTTAGAAGCCACCCCTGTGGGACGGTTAACTCCACTGGCCAGGGATATGTGTGGACTGTAGATGTTGGGTACGAGTGCCCAAGACAATGCTAGTATAAATTATGGTTTCTGGTTCCCTAAGAGGCACAAGACTATACTAGTATAAAGTATGTTATCAGGTCCACCATGAGAATCCAATAGGTTTGGGCCTTTAACCCAAATTTATAGTGTTTTGTAGTAGTCTTCAATTGTCCTACTTCTGCACTCCAAGTTTGTCCAATTAAATGAGATAATGAGATTTATGGATTCATGATACCTTGTCGTTCCTCTTAGATCCATCATTATGCTTTATTTTTGTTACTTTGCGTAGCCCATGCAATGAATGATGAGTCTCTCTGTCTCTCTCTCTCTCTTAAAATTCTTCCGAGTTATGCATTACAATTCTCACTCTCTCTCGATCTTCTTTTCGAGTTATGCATTACAATTTATCTACAGCTACTCTTGTTCTGCCATGCTTTGAGCTGGATTTCAAGTTTGAATTAAGTTGGTTCTTGTTTTCACTATCTAGTCCTTTATAATGAAATATTTTAAATGTTGCAGGTCTATTGGACAATGTGCTTAGTGATTACTTGTGGGCTAAGGCTGTACTTCTTACTACGACTACAGTAGCAACTGCCGGCTTAACTATTCAAGTTCCTTTGGCAGCAGTGGTGGATTCTTTGACAGGGCATGCACCGAATCTCTTGGATTATTTAGGTGGTGCCTCTATAATGGCTGGCTTCATTGGTATTAACATCCCATCTGCTGATAGTTGTGGACTGGGATCAAACTCAAAAGAAACGCTGGTTGAGAGTGATCCTCAATCCACTCCTACTGTTGCTCAACATCCTGATGTTTAGCTGGTTACTAGTTGAATTCCATCTGCTCGTGCTTGCATCTCTCTCTTTCTCTCTCTCTCTCTCTCTCTCACACACACTCCGACACACACACAGACCCGCACACAGGCTCGCGTGTATACATGAACACACTCATTTCCTATTTTAATTTCTCTCATTTTTTGTTTTATTGTCTATCACTTATTTCCTATTCTCTCTCTCTCTCATGTACATGCCACGGTTACTTTTCTCTCAGATCTCCCGAGTCTTCTATTTTGAGTAATTAGCTCCTGGGTTGATCTCTCTCTCAGCTGTGAAAGTGATGGTAGGTCATATTGATCAACAATATAGCGCTCATATATGGTTACAGAATCAACTTTACTTTTTAAATATTCCTGCATGAGGCTTCGCGGGATGAATTATGGGCAGTGGCTATTCGAAATATGAGGTTTGAGGCTCATCTTAGGTTTAATAAAACTTGGCCCAATGTTGTCAGATTCACTCCTCTTCGACCAAAGAGGCTGAAGTCTTTGGATTTTGGCCTAGACAGAAGAAGCGAAGAAAAGCTCTAATGCATTCGCTTCGGCTTGCTTCGGTGTGATTTGGACCGCGTTGGATTCGGCCTTTTCTGTTGAAGCTCTAGCCTCTTCGGCTGAATCATGGTATTGTCCTTTTTTATTGAATTTTTTATTTTTTAAATTTTTATTCTTTTAATAAATTATATATTTATATATAATTTATTAATATTAATTTTTTTTAAAATTTTTAAAGTCTCCTTCCGAAACGGCTGAAGCATCGAAGTGCTTTGTTTTTCCAACCAAATTGAAGAATACTCCAAAAAGCGAATCTAACGACATTGCATGGGCTCAACCAAAATACGTCTCCTTCTTCCTTTACCCAGTTCAGCTATTAAGTTAAAAGAAACATACACCTTAGTGATAATTGTCGCGATCAGGATATTATCAGCAGCGATGTTATCAGCAGGGAGTTTTACTGGACGTTATTTGATTCTCTTTTTCTATTGGGAAATTAATGTATTAAATTAATTTTTTATTCATTATATATTAAACTTTTTATCAATTTAGTAAGGAAAAAGTTTATATAAGGATGCTACCCTATAGTGTAGAACTACGGATGCCCTTCAAAAATCCATCGGAAAAGGTAGTTTTAATGTTGAAAAACCCTTTGATTGATCTTCTCGGCATCAACATGTATGACTATGAAAAATAAAAAGATTTTAAGTCTCAAAAATAGTGTATTTTACAACATATTATCTGCACCGTCTATTTTCGAGATTTTCATATGTTTATAGTTCTGTTTGATTTTAACCATTTTTGAAATTTAAAATTTTATAGTTAGGTATAAAAATAGATTTTGAGATAATCCTAAGAACATATTACATCAAAATTATATATCATGATAAAATTACCTCTACACCTGCGGATGCATCCGTGTGCAAACTGCATTGGCCTTTGGTTCTTCGTACGTCAGTACTTGGAAAAGAAAGTGCAAGAGAATTTCAAATTTGAAACCCCACCCTTGATTTATCGCTACCAAACTAGTTAGTTTCAAATTCGATAGAGATTGTGTGGGCCGATGATCGAATTACGATTTAAAGTGGAATTTTTCTTTAAATAGTCAACAGTGCCGGCTTGAACTTTCCGCCAAAAATGAAGGAAAAACTTACCTACCTGGGCCGGTTGGCCCGGGACGTCTAAATTGGAGGCTGTCGCCTATATTACGACCGTGTAAGATTTATACCTCTTGCTTTCAGTTTTCTTTTTAGTTGAATACCTCTCTGAAATTTACTGGAAATTTTGACTATGGATGGTTATAAGAGGTTAAAATTGAAAAAGGGTTTTGTAGGCTAGATATAGGATCATGGTTTCTGAGATATATATAGGGTTTGAATGTTACGGTCCTAAGGCTAAAGTTAGGATGACCAAGGCTAGGGTTTATGTTCAGACTACTGTGATGCAAGAAAATCAAAAGGTAAGACAATAATCTACTTTATGTTATTCTTGCGAAAGACTAATTTTCATAAATATATGAATATGTTTTAGCTCTAGAGAGAGAGTCTACAATGATATTTAATATCTTTCAACAAAATTATGGCATAACATAATCACAAAAAACTGAATTTACAAAATCAAGATCATGAAGTTTTCTTACTTAAAGACACCAAAGCATAGGATAATTTTACAATGCAATGACAGCTACGATGCAAATAAAATATCTAGAAAATCCCTAAATTATAAACTAAAAAAATGCAGGCAATTGATATGTAGACATTTACTCAAACAGTTATTGTGTGCATAATAATTTTAAATAATCCAAAAAAAATATGCACTAATTTTCAGCAACAATTATGTATCACTATCTTTCTCTAAAATTACAACATCATCTCTATATATCTCTCTTCCCCAAAAATTTCAGCAATGGCTATATCTTTATCTCTAAAATTACAGCAGTACAAAAAATTCAAGGGGTCCCTTGTTTCTATTGCAAAAGCACGGACCTAGTTGTTAGTTTATAATGTTTTTTTTTTTTAAAGATGAGAGAGGCGTGCAACTCAAGATACAAGAGGGGAAAATAAACAATGCGGTATCTCTTGATATTGAGCAAAATATATTGCGTCAAAATATCAGTGAAATTAACATGATTTCAATGAAATTTTTAATGATAAACAAATAGAGTCTCCTAGCCTATTTTGTTTTGGACCAATCTTTATTGCGTCAACAATGATTTCATTAAAACAGATTATGGAACAGTTGCAATTTTTGGAACAATAGCGGTTTCTCAGAGAAAAAAGAATCATTGTCTGCTAGACAGAGAGAGATACAGAGGAATTTGGAATGGAGAGATGGCCTTCATGTGTTGAACAGAGAGAGAGTGTGAAACATAACAACAATTAATCAAAAAATTTAGACCCAATTACAATCAATAAGCAAGACCTAAGTAAATGATCAGCAAGATTTTCAGCAAAAACAAAAAAAAAAAATTCAAAGAAGAATGCCATTGGACCAATTTGAGATAAATTCGAGAAAGCCAATTTCATCCCGTTAACTCTTTATTATTCTGACATACTTAAGTTCTTTTATCAACTCAGATACCAAGATTTGATAATAGAGAGAGAGAGGAGGCGGAGTTGGGAATATGAATGGGGATTTCAATGGAGGGTGGATGCGTGTGTGCATAAGGGTGCTGGTGCCAACTGACCATGAAAGAGAAAAAAAAGAATGGAATTCAAAAATTTTAAGGTTAGAAATAAATTACAGTAAGATATACGGGAATGACAAAGAACAATATCAAGGTTACTATAAATTAAACTCAGGAAAAATAAGATATAAACACCAATAAAAAATGAAAGATAGAACCTGCTTTGATACCAATGTTGGACTTTTGATGCGAAGAGATAAAAAACACCAAGCTCCCAGGATTAATGGCAGTGTCATGAGACTAGGGATCACACAGAGCAGGCTTTACTAGAACTACTGAGAACTAAAAAATAATTATTTGTGTGTGCTTCTCCATGACCAAGAAAAGCCTAGTTATAAAAGGATGGAGGAGGCCGTTCTTCAACATTCGGCTTCCTCCTGGAATCTCTAAAAAATGTAGCCCTCTAATATTGGAAGGTGGGTAGTTATCATCCACCCGTTGGATAAAAGCATATTTTCTCTCTCTAAGAAACCTTTTGAGTGATAAAATATTAAAACATTAAGATAAATAATAAGAGAGAGAAATATGACACATGTGAGGCCCCATGGCCACTCACACGTACTAACAACTTGGATAATATCTAATGGAACTTTGTCTTTGCTATAACTTTGGTAAACATGTCTGCAAGTTGGTCTTCACTTCAAACATAAGGAGTACTAATAATTTTGTATTGAACATTATCTCTCAAAGTGACAATCAACTCCTATGTACTTGGTTCTTTCATGAAAAACTAGATTAGAGGTTATATGCACAGCTGCTTGATTATCGCAGAACATCTCCATTGGATTGTCCGTTAGGAACCCCATATCTCGAAGTAGGTATTTTGTAGTTGAAGTTATAGCTTTATATTCGGCCTCTACACTGGATAGAGAAACTACATTTTTTTTTTGTTTTTCCAAGTAATTAAGTTTCCTCCGACCAATGTATAATACCCAATAGTAGCCCTCATATCAATTGGATTACTTGCCCAGTCAACATCAGAATAACTAATAATATTAGTGTGACCATTTGGTTTCATCCAAATACGTCTGTCGAGTGATGACTTAAGACATCTGACAATCCTATTGACAACTTCCATATGACATGATCTAAGAGCATGCATAAATCAGCTCACAAGGCTAACCACATACATTATATCTGGTTGTGTCAGTTAAATTAAGCTTGCAATTAATATCAACAAGGGTGTCAACAAGTTTGACTCCTAGTTTACTAGTTTCTTTTAACAGGTCTAAGACATATTTCTTTAGAGAAATTGAGAGCCTCTTTTTGGAATGTGCTACTTCAATATCGAGAAAATACTTTAGTTGACTAAGGTCTTTGATGTCAAATTTCGTGTCAAGATAATTTTTAAGCTTCATGATGCTTTCTTTATCATTACCTGTAACCATAATATCATTAATATAAATGAGTATAACTGTTGTACCTGAAGTTTCCCTTTTTATAAATATTGAAGAATCAACTGAACTTCCAAGAAATCCGACACTCATCAAGGTTAAGCTGAGTTTGACACCAAGTAACAGAAGTGGTTCTTCCTCTACACATGATTCTCCTTCTTCCTCCCATGACACGGCTAATCCTAATGCTTTCATGTCTTTCCATAGTACTTTTCTTTGGATAATAGACTTAGGGGCCACAGATCATATGACTGGCAACTCGCAATGTCTATCCAACCTAAAAAATAATGAAAATATGAACCCTGCTTATATTAGTAATGGTTTATTGATTCCTATCCATGGTGAATCTCATAACTCTAAAGTTCTTTTTATGTCATCTTTCTCCTCTAGCTTGATGTCAGTTAGTAGAATTACTTAGAGCATGAATTGCAATATTATTTTTCTCCCAATTTTGTAACTTTTTAGGACCAGACCATGAGGAGGACGATTGGTGAAGGAAGACTGTCTCATGGGCTATATTTATTTAATCTGGAGAATAAAGTTTTGGTTGCTAGTCAAACTAATTTCAATATTAATACATTATGTCATTGAAGATTTAGACACCCCCTAGATAAAGTTTTGAAAATCTTAAAATCCTCTATATCTTTAAATTCTCATTATTGTGAAGTTTGTAAATTCTCAAAACACATAACACTTCCTTTTAAGTCTTCTATGCATGTTTCAAAGGAACCATTTTATTTGATACATTCTAATGTGTGGGGACCAGTCCCATTTGATTTTTAGGCTGGCTTAAACTCGTTCCATAACTTTAGATAGATCCACAAGACATGAACCATGATCAAGAGACGAAACAACCCCCCATGGTGCAATGGATCGCTACTGATAGATCGACATGCTCTGATACCATGTAGAGGTTGCAATAAAGGAAATAGAAACGAGAGAGAAAAATCAACAAGATATATAAGTGGTTCGGCAATAGTGCCTACGTCCACGGAGGGCAAACTAGTATCTCATTCATAAGGAATACTTTGGTTTACCAAGGATTTATAGATTTACAGCTCTTGCAATTGTAATTGTAATCCCACAAAATAACTGAATATAAAAAACTCAATATTTGGCTACTGCAATTTTAGCTACTATAACTATCAACACCTAGCCTTGGCATGCCATTTTATGGCCCGGGCCAAAACTTTCCAGGACGTAGACCTAGGCCTTGCATTTGGGGGCAGGGCGACCAGCTGAGCAGCGCTGCCTGGCCGATTGCCACCACAAATTGGAGATAGTGCAAATACCCTATAAATGAACTTGTAGAACTACTCTATTACGAGTGCAAGATAATCTTTATGAACTCTTCAAGATTTTATCTCAATTTATATTGAAGTTGTTAAAAAATATCCACACAGTTCTGTACATGAACTAATATTTTGGATCACAGTGCATACAATTTGGATGACGATGGTTGCCTGGCCTGACTGCCTAGTTGTGGGACTTGAGCCTAGTCTGAGCTTGAGATGGGGCACGCTGAGCCTGTCCCGTTTCCATGCTGCAAAGACAGGTTTGGTCCAACTTCATTGTTGGTTCAAGTGGGGCAAGTGCAATGCATATTTCTTTTTTGCAAGAGACAACAAGTACAATTCTACAGCAACCATTTGTCTATTGTTTAAAATTCATTTATCACTCGAAGAAACATTTTCTTCCTTTACAGTGTCTAAAGTTTCACAAGTACAAGAAGTTTACAATTTCAAGTAACTATTGGCGCTCTTCTACTTGTTGTAGTCTTCAACCAATTTCCCATGAGTTTGAGAGTAAAAGAAAGGGCTTGGTGGATAGGGGTGGCAACGGGTCTCTGGATGGACCCGGACCTGGACCTGGACCCCAGACCCAAATAGCATGTGAGTCCAAGTTTTCGACCCGGACTTGACCCGTCTGGTCCAAAAGTTGGACCCCTATCCATACCCATACGGTCCAGGGTCTGTCCTGTTGGATATTGGGTTTGGTCATGTCCATTGCCACCTTCATTATGAGCTTCTTGTTTTTTTTTTGCCCTTTTTTCACTACCATATATCCATATTATTGGCAACAAGGTTACAATAACCCACTATTAGATTTCAAGCAATCTGATTTGTCGTTTAATAGCTAAAGATGACTATGAGTTCTTATTGTATAGGATCTTTAATATACTTAAATGTATAGGGCTTGAAGTATTTTATCTCCAATAGTTTATGGGTGCGGGTCGGATTCAACCGGACCCGAACCCAGACCCGAGCAGTGTTTGGGTTTAGGTTTTGAACCCAAACCCAACTCGCTAGGTCCAAACATCGGACCACCAATGTCAGGTATACGCACGGGTCCCCAGTTGGGTCCGGGCCCATCGCCACCCCTATTGATGGATAACTCCAAAAGACCATGAAATCATCGAAAAGGAGCCCACATCAATATGAGGCCTCAGGTTGTCACATAAAAAACAGCTGTGGGTTAGGTTGCCGGGCACGAAAAAGCAAAACTTTTGTGAACGCCAAATCCCCATGCAAATTATAAATATGATTTCTAATTCTCAAAGAACAGTTTTTTCTCTCACTAAGATTGAGCATCTCTCTCTCTCTCTAAGTTATGAATATGATTTTTTATTTCTCAAATAAGAGTTTTCTATCACTAAGAGGGAGCATCTCTCTCCCTCCCTTCTCCCCCTCTCTCTCTCTCAAGCAACTCTATTTGCAAATGAATGATCTCTCTTTTCTCTAAAAAAGAAGTTTTCTATCACCGAAGTCCCATGCAAATTATGGAAGATTTCTCATTTCTTCAAGGAAGAGTTTGCCATCATTAAGAATCTATCTCTCTCAACGAGCTCTCTCTCTCTCTCTCACAAAAGCAACATTATTTGCAAATGAATGATTTCTCATTTCTTAAAGAAGCCTTTTCTATCACTAAGATAAATCCTCTCTCTCTCTCCATTGCAAAACTAGTTTGAACTTTGAACATCAGTCCCCATGCAAAATCTTTGAATGGAATTTGTCTCAAATACGAGTTTCAGTCACTGAAAAAGAGAGCCTCTCTCACCTCAAACCCGTTAGACACTCAAAAAGCTTACATACATTTTCAATACTCCCAACTGCCCCATCATCCTTCCTCCATAATAATTGATTTACCAAATCTCCCCAAAAAACAATAAAACTAAAAATTTGAATACATTCTCTCTCAAAAACAAGTATCCAATAAAAAGCTCTTTATCAATGAAAATGGTTTCTTTCACTAGAAAACATCTCTCTCTTTCTCTCTAACGCAAACCATCAACCATGCAAAAACGCTTTGTAAACATCATTGAATCATCATAAAGGGGTCCTCTCCCTCTCTCTAACACAAAACTATCAATCTTCCAAAATCTTTCTCTCTCTCTCTAAAACAAAACTATCTATCATCCAAAAAGCTTTGTAAACATATTTGAATCGACATAAAGGGCCCTTTCACTTAAAATCTCTCTCTCTCTCTCTAACGCAAAACTATCAATCTTCCAAAAATCTTTGTAAACATATTTGAATAAAAAAAAAAACCATATTTGAATGAACCTTAGGGAACTCTCACTTCAAATCACTCTCTCTCTCACATAAAACACCCGTTGACTCTCTTTCTCTCTCTCTCATCAAAAACCCGTTTTCACTCAAGTGTCTCCACCATTTCTTCTCTCTCCATAAAAGCCACCATGAATGCACTCCATCGCCCAATATTTAATGCAATCACGCCACCGTGAAACAAAAACCAGTGCAAGAAGCTCTGGTGCGCATTTCGCCAATCGAGAAACCAGATAAATAGAAGACAGAGAGAGAGAGAGAGAATAGTAAGGTCAAAACGCGTTTGGGTTGGAGGGCAGTTGGGCCGCAGAGCCCTTATCCAATGAGAGCTCACCTCTCATTTAATTGAACATGCCACTGCTAGTACAAGCAATAACACTTTGAACACCCACTGGTTTTATGGACACACAGACTCCCCGCTTTTCTCTCTCTATAAATACTGCAATATTTTCTTTCTCTCTCATCACTCGAAACCTCAGGTGTAGATTGAATTCGCATAGAGAGATAGAGAGATGAGGGGCGGCGCTTCCGTTTTAACTGGGGTTTTGGTGGTGGCTGTGGTGGTGGTGAGTAATGTCTTTGCTGCTGAAGTCGGCAATGGCTTTAGCGATGATAAGCACTTCTTGCTGGGCCACATGCATGGGCCATTTGGATTTAAGCATCATGGTGGAGGACTAGGAGGAGGTTTTGGTGGGGGTGGAGGGCTTGGAGGTGGCGCCGGCGGGGGTTTTGGAGGAGGTGCTGGTGGTGGTGGTGGCCTAGGAGGAGGAGCTGGGGGAGGTTTTGGTGGTGGTGCAGGCGGTGGTGGTGGTCTTGGTGGAGGTGCTGGTGGGGGTTTTGGCGGGGGAGTAGGCAGTGGAGGTGGACTTGGAGGAGGTGCTGGTGGTGGTGCAGGTGGAGGGCTTGGTGGTGGTGCAGGTGGAGGGCTTGGTGGTGGTGCAGGTGGAGGGCTTGGTGGTGGTGCAGGTGGCGGGCTTGGTGGTGGAGGTGGGCTCGGACGTGGTGCAGGTGGAGGATTAGGTGGTGGAGGTGGGCTCGGCGGTGGAGCGGGTGGTGGCGCTGGAGGTGGCCTCGGTGGTGGAGGTGGCTTAGGTCACCATAAAGGAATAGGAAAAAAGAGAGGTGGGCTTGGTGGAGGAGCTGGAGGTGGGCTTGGTGGTGGCGGTGGGCTTGGTGGAGGAGCTGGAGGTGGTGGCGGGCTCGGTGGTGGAGCCGGAGGAGGTCTCGGTGGTGGAGCCGGAGGAGGTCTCGGTGGTCGACCTGGAGGAGGTCT